CCCTTGCTTTTGGGTAGGAAAAGCCAACATAGTGAAAATGGTCATACTCCCAAAATTGTTATAAACATGTCATGATATTCCAATCAAAATATTATAGTATACATCGCAGAAACAGAGAAAATATTCCTAAATTCACTTGGAACCACAAGAGATTTAGAATAGCAAAACTGGGCAACACCAGCAAAGGCAGGAGGCATCACAACCATTGACTTGAAATTATACTACAGAATTACTATGAAAAAATAGCATGCACATTCACTGGAAGAAAGATAGCCTCTTTATTAAAATGGTGGCATAAAAACTGCCTTTCCACATGCCCAAGACTAAAACTAAAGCCATGTCTCTCAACACACAGTGAACTAAAATCAAAATGAATCAAAAATCTAAATATTAAAACAGAGACACTAAATCTTCTGGACGAGAGAATAGATAGAACTGCTAAACTACAGATATTGGCAAAGACTTCATGAACAAAATCTTGATTGGATGGGAAATACTACAAAGAACCAACAACTGGGGTTTCATCTTATTAAAAAGCAGAAAAACCACCAACAGAGTTAAGTTACAACCCAGAGTGGGTAAAAATTTTGTCTACAAAGGATAATATCTAGATCGTATAAAAAAGCTGAAAAAAATCGGACCCTCCAAATCTAAAGACCCAATCCAAAAATGGACATCTCTGATGAATACACACTTGGAAGTTCAAAAGGGAAATAAACAAGAAAAAATGTTCAACATCACTGGTTATTTGAAAGATGGAAATTAAAACAATGGTGATAGTCCATTTCACTCTAGAAAGAATGACTATTATCAAGAAATCAACTAATAAAAAATGCTGGCAGGGCTGTGGAGAAAAAGGAATCCTTCTCCACTTAGTAGGAGTGTGGACCACTGTAATCACTGAGAAAGTCAGTGTGGAGGTTCCTCAAAACTAAAGGACTAAAGGTCCCATTTGACTCAGTTATTTTCCTTGGTGTCTTCTCAAAAGAATTAAAAGCATCATACCACTGTGATATATCCACACCCATGTTTATAGCAGTACAGTTTGTAATATCTGAATTTGGAAATGGCCCAAAAGCCCAACAATTGATGAATGGATTTAAAAGATCTGTTGTTGTTGTTTTTTTTTAATAATGGAGTACTCTTCAGCCTAAAGGAAGATAAACTTGAGACATTTCTAGATTAGTGGATGCACCTTGAAGCCATACTCTTCAGTGAAATAAATATTCAATTGTCTGTCTGGTATGAGAAACTGAAAGTATAAGTAAGGACTAAAATGTGTAACAGCTACTATGAAATAGGCAGAAGTCAAATGGAAAAAGGAACTAGGGAAGTGGGGCTGGGAAAGAAAAGAAGGGAAAAGAAGAATAAAACAGAAACAAAGGTTTTGTAAATAAGAAAGGAAAAGGGGGAAAGAATTGGAAAACAACAGGAATAAAGATATATGATATGTGATCATTATGTAGATGTAAAATGTACCAATAAATAATTTAAAATCCTTTTATGAAAAAACATGTAGTATACGGTTACCCAATGTATTCTACTTCTGTATATTTTGATATTTTTATACCAAGCAAATGCAGAAGGATAAACCTCTGACACACAGTTGTCAGAACTCCTAACTAAATGATAGTATATATTTAGACTGAGGAAAATTATTGTTTTCAGATAAATAAATATATCACCAATTAATAATAATTTTTTTCAATTTGAATGAATTACTTTCATGTGCATTGATGTAACCAAAATAATGTGTTTGCATCTTTTAGACACACAGCATGAGTTACAGTTATACCCAAATAAATTCTGATTGGTATAAAACTATAAATTATTTTAATTATTTTTCTAGACTATTAATAAAAAACAGAAATTTAAAAAGTCTAATTGAAAGCACATTGCTGAGCAGAATCACAAAAGCTAGTATTACAGCCAAATCAGTTAAAATGATTAGAGAAAGATTTGTCTTAACTCTCATAATAAATAAATAACAGTTACAATTTGCCATGGCAGAGCAAAATGAAAAAGCTTTTTTATTATAGGCATTATTAACAGAAATTTTCCATTAAATACATAGGAATTGGATAAGAATATTTTACAGACTAGTAAAAAATAACCAATAAAATAAATTGCCAAAAATCAGAACATGATCTCCAACAAAATTTAAAGTATTTTGAGCATAGTCCAAGCTTGTACATGTAAACAGTTTCAAAATCTTGAATTCCTGCATACATATACACAAAAAAGGAAAATAATATTTAGTGGGTTTCAGCCAGGTGCTGTGGCATGTATGTATAATCCAACTATTCTGGGTGCTAACATGGATGGATCTCAAAATAGAGGCCGATCGGGGCTATTTACTGAGAACTCTTGCCTCAAAAGCAAAACAAAAACCAAAAAACAAAAAGTAAAACAAAACACAAATTCAGAGACACGTGGAAATTTCACTATAAAATCATAAGGAAAACCTAAAAACGACATTTTACAAACAGTGAAAATTTTTAACTTAAGTCATCTATTATACATAATACAAAAACTTTGCAAAAATGTAAAAATAGTTGACTGAAAATTTGAAAATGCTTTTGTCTATTTCACTAGTTTTAGATATTAAAATGTTTTCTCTGTTCGAGAAACTTCCCAATTTACATACGTTTTGTCTCACAGAATTTTCAGATTTACAAAGAAATGCTGTCATTTGCAACTTAAAAGAATCAAACTCAGTTTCATACACTAAGGAGAAAATACAGTGCTTACATATGCAACTCTGATTCATTTCACTTATGAGTATGGTCTCTCATTGTATCCATTTACCTATAAAAGCTTCGAGTTTATCCTTCCTTATAGCTAAGTAGTACTCCATTGTATAAAAATAACCATTGTTGAATTCCTATCATCTTATTTTGAAATCCTATATTGCTATTGCTTTTTAAAAATTTTTTTCTGTGTTTTTTATCTTTAAAATAAAAAGAAGAAAAAACAAGTTCAGCAGGTATTTTTGCATCTTTTACCTCTCTTAAGAATTTTTAACTAGTCAGAGGAAAATCATTTCTATCACAGTGGCCAGTGTTTTGGCTATCTTATTTTAGGAACCCAAAAATTTATTGGAAATGCTTTATTAGTAATTTTAAAAAATATATTGACTACCATTTGCAGGAAAATGGGTGGAACTGGAGCAAAATATACTAGACTCAGAAACACATATATTGCATGTTTTACTTAATATATACCATTTTTTAAAAAGGCAAATGACAAGAAATTAGAGAGAATACTTCTACTAAATTAGAGGAATAGAAGGCTGTAAGTAAATTTATTAGGGAGATTAAATATGATCAAAATATTAAAATGTTACATTCATGGCTGAAAATATCACTTCAAACTCCAATATTCTGTAAAATTAATATGAACTAATAAAACTCATCAAGATGTTTTTGAAGTTCTATTATAGCTATTTTTTGTGATAAATTATACAGACAGAAAATTTAGAAGCTTATATGTTTTAAGTGTTTAGTTCATTAGAGTTCAGTATACTCATGTAATTGTATGACTAATCTCTAGACATTTTTCATACTTATTTAATAATATCTATTTGGGAATCCCTAAGCTCCTAGGAAACATCACTCAATTTTTTGTTTTTATCAGTTTTATTATTTTCATATAAGTGGAATGATACAGTGTTTGTATTTTTGTGGTTGGACTATTCCAGCACATGTCAGAATTTCCTTTCTTTTTAAGGATGATCAGTGTATGTCACATTTTGATAATTCATTCTTCCATCAATGGACTTTTGAGGTGCTTTCACCTTTTGGCTATTATAAAAGATGTTGCCATGAATATAGGTATAGAAATAACTGACTCCTCACTTTCAATTCTTTTGAGCATTTGCTCAGAGATGGAACTGATGGCTCATATAGTGATTTTATTTTTTATTTTTTAAAGGAACTACCATTTTTCACAGTAGCTGTACCATGCTACCTTCTGACCAAAACACGCAAAGATTACAGTTTCACTACATTCTCCCCCACTAATGCATTATTTTTTAAAATAACTATCCTAATGATTGTGAAGTGGTAGTTACTGAAGTTTCGATTTACATTTTCTGAATAAGTAGTGATGTTGAGTATCTTTATACATGCTGATTAGCATTACTAAATCTTAATTGGAAAAATATTTATTCAAATCCTCAGCCCATTTTATTATTTGGGTTGTTTTTTTTCTTCCAGTGTAGGAATCTCTTATAATTTATGAATATGTTCTCCTATCCTATGACTTCTTTTCTTACTCATTGTATTCTTTGATGAGCAAGTTTTATTTTGATGAATTGTTAACTTATTTTTGTTATAGCAGCCTGTGCTTTTGATGTCATTTGGGACAAATTATTTGCAAATCAAATGGCATACAATTTTCCTCTAAGAATTTCATAATTTTCTTATATTTCAGTTTTTGATACATTTTGACTAAATTTTTGTACATGGTGTATGGCAAAAACAGAACTTCATTTTTTGTTTGTTTGTGAATATTGAGTTTTCCTAGCATCATATATTGAAACATTGTCTTTTCACCATTGAATGTCTTGGTATCCTTGTAAAAAAAATCATTTGACCGTATATAGTAGGATATATTCCTGGGCTTTCTAGTCTATCCCACTGGGCTGTATGTCTTCTTTATGCTTGTACCACACTGTTCAGTTTGTTGTAGCTTTATAGAACTGTGGTATCTCCAACTTTGTTGCTCTTGTCAAAATTTTAATATAAAAGGTAAATACAACAGCACTAAAATCCAAGTCACCAAAATTGTGAACAGTGATTTTTAAAGATTATTACCCAGTTAACAAAGTACTCAAATTATTATGAAGGTATCAAATATGTGTGTTACTGTTAACACTCATCTATAGCTCATATAATTTCTTAAAATGTGACTTGAGAAAGACTATTCATCTTTAGCTTCTGACATTAACATGATTGATTATACCAACAAGATAAAACAATGAAAATATTATTCCATACCTCTCTGCTCTTGTCAGTGTAAGGTGTGCAATATATATGTCCCCAAGGTAGTCATCAATAGTATTTCTTTTAGCCAAGTTTGCTAAACAGATATCTGGAGACTTTAAAAAAAAAAAAAGATTCATTACATGCAAATCTAGTTTTGTTTGAAGCCTTCTCAGTTGGATAACTACTTCCTGATAATATTCATTCCATTTTTGGATGTACCCACTTAAAATTATTCCTTAAATATATTATTTGAGTAGAGACATTTTATACTTTATTATTTTCAACTGACTTTTGCATAGTGAAAATGTGAAATTCTTTTTCTCCCTTAAGATGTCTTAAACATGAACATAATTTTCATACTCCCTGAATCTTCCCTATGCCAGAAGTCCCAGTCATCCTTATCAACCCAAATAATTTCTAGTTGGCTTATCATCCTAGTTACTTCTCTTTGAAAAGCCTTGTTTCTGATGATTGTTTTAAAAATCGAGGCTCACTGCTAGAAGTGGCCTGGCAAGTATCAGACTGTCACCTTTCTTGTTCAGAGCTATAATTCATTTATGATAGCTTAAGTTCATTTTTATATTGAAAATCTGTTACACTCTCAACTCAAAATAAGCTCAGAATTAACTAAAATTCTAAGCACTCTCTCCTTGATTTTATAAAATTATTTTCTAAACATAATGTTATGATTTAACATGCTCATCTAATTTTCTTTTGGTTAAATTTGTTTCACAAAGAGCCTACTGAAATTTTTTTAACTCTTTGCTTTTTAATATTGGACTACTCATCTTGGTTTTATGCCACTTACTATTTTAAATGCCGACAATAGTTATTAATAACAGTTAAGTGCAGATAGAGCTTTCCAGCTATTACTAGGTGTTCTTTGTTCTTTCATGATTGGCATATTTTATAATAGTACAATCATGTCATAGTTTTAAAAAGCTCTCCCTAGGAAAGGATACTTAGTTCCTTAACTTACCTATCTGAATTATCTCCTATCTTACATATTAATCCTCAAATTCTTATGTATCTTCTAGGCAGTAAACTTTCATAGTCTCTAAGAATTCTAACTTTGATTCTAGTTACCAAGGATACAGTACTGAATATGACAGTGTTTCTACCCTGTTGGTACTTAACTTCTAGCAGGAGAAAGAAAATAAATAAATAAATAAATAAATAAATAAATAAATAACTGGCAAAAAAAGAGAGTAACTTCTAAAAATTAGAACAGGTTAAGAGCTTAGTCATTAGGAGCTTATTTTAGGTGAAACAACATCTTCTAAGTACTTTTAAACTGAACTTGAATAATTATAAGGTGATAGCCTTGCAAAATATGTTAAGAAAAAATTCCAAAACAAATAAATGTTAAAAGAAAAAGTTAAAAGTCTAGGAAGAGTAAATAGTAGAGCAACAGATTGTCCCAACTAGATCACAATTTTAATTTTCTTAGATTACCTTGTTTGTTCCACCTCTCCAGAAAGACAACTAGTATCAATAACCAACCAACCACAGACCAAACATCCTAAAGTTGTACCTCTGTACTAAGATGAAACCTCTTCTGGACTTTACCAAGGTTACCTCTATATTGTGGCAATAAAACATTCATATTCTAAATAACTGATTTAAAAGCTATGCAGTTACACAGCTTTTTAAAAAGCATAAGAAAGAAAAAAGAAAGAATAACAGATTAATGCAAATTTTAAACACAAGTCAAAAATTTTCCACTACTATAGATAAATAAGGACACACTCAGGGAACAGAAAGTAATTCAGTTTAGCTTCCCCACAGGATATATGATAATACCAAGATATGAATACAAGTTGAGAAAATGCCACTAAATATTTTCACTGAATACTTTTTATGCCAAATTAATGGGGGTAGGACTTAATTCTGTATGAAATTAGGAGGTGTGAAAGTTTTCTATGACAATAGTGACTGATACAGAATCTGAGTGCAGAACAGAGATTAAAAGTAAGGAAACCAATTAGAAAGCTAGTGTTATTATTCAGGTAAGAACTAATGATTGCTGGAGCTCAAGTACTGAATTAATTTGTTGACAAATTAATTTTCAACTGTTAAAGAGTGAAGAGTTGGCAAGAGTACAATGAAGTTTCCAGATCCTTTAATACATTACTAGCATAAATGTAATTGGGCTTCTGTTCCTGAGATAGAACTTGATGAGACTGGATTTAAGAGACAATACAGAAATGGTCAAAAAGACTTGAAGACTTACAGTTCTCAGGGGTGAGAAAAAGAGAAGCTGCAGAAAATGACTATGGAGTTTCAAGCTTGACTGTGCAACATGAACTATTAACAGGAAAGAGAAGTCAAGAAAACATGGGAAAAGAGTAGGTGAGTTTATCACTCACATGCTGTGTAACTTTGGACAAACTCCCTTAAACTTGGTGCCTATAATTACCATGTAAAATGGTAGTGACTGAGCCCAATTAGAGGAGCTTACCTCATAAATGTCTTCTCCTGCTGGACAATTTTGAGAGTTAAAGCATTCTATGACTGTAAATCACATTATTTAAACTTTTAATTTCAGAGAAATACCTTAAACCACACTTGAAGCAAATTGAAGTCAATAGTTTATTATTTTGTCAACCAGGTTAGACTTCCTTCATAACTAAAAAAATCACTATACATATAATTATAAAAACTTTTTGACAATTTTGAATTTGTAAAAAAAAAAAAGGAATACCTCTGAAGCAAAATAAAAGTATGTTTGTGCATTATCAAACTGTACTCCACAAAATTTACTCATTACTTTAATTAGTAATATACCAGTACTTACTTTAATATATCCTTGCCAAGCATATTTGAATGAAGAAAATGTATACATTTATCGGACTTTTTTTCAGACTATTTGATCTGTGCATTTTCTTTTGATTTAGTCATTTAATTGTACTTTTAATATTTTATGTAGAGGATAAAATTTCGTTTTTGTAGGTTATAAAAACTTCATTATTTGTATTTTACCTTGTGTATTTTGTAATGGAGTTATAAATCACTTGATATTCAATGCTTTTCTGTTCAATTCCATTTTTTCAGGTTTTAGTAATTTTCAAAAATTTATTAGTACATGTGTGTAGATGAGGTGACTACATGTGCTCATTCATATTTCTTCTAAATTATATGTAATATTGATCTGTTAGTAATTTGATACATAATAAATTTCTTCGTGTGAGCATAAAGCTGATTTTTAAAATGTTTTAACTGGCTTCCATTGTCAACTTTTTAGCTGATACAAGTTTTCTAGCGTTTCTTCAGGCAATAATTTTGGAAAGTAGTTTAAGTGAATCCTTAGTGTTACTAATTCACTCTTCATTGCTGTTTGGTTCAATGAATATTTCCTGGCAGTGTTGAATAACAGTACATTGGCAATGGCATGAATTCTCTTATTCACCATTCTATCCTTTGAACACATAACATGTGTTCTGAGACAGAAGACATTATTTATTGAAGAAATGAGTGTTTCAATTTTCTGGTGCATCAGTTGTCTTAATGTTCACAATTCTGGAGGGGCACTTAGGAAGAAACTGGTGGTCAGTAAGATCACATAATTTACACAACCTCCTGCTTGCAGCACCTTTTCCTATTACCTAAACAGCGGTTATTCAGGGCTTAGAGGCATGCTTGTCTCCACATGGCTGGCACATTTCTGGCTCTCTCCTCTTTCAAATCTACAATATTAGAAACCCGAGTGGTGGCACGCACCTGTAATCCCAGCACTCTGGGGAGACGAGGCATAAAGAGCCTAAGATCAAGCCCAGCCTGGGCGACTTAGACACTATCTCAAAATAAAATTTAAAATGCTGGGGCTGTCACTCAGCGCGAGCACCCTGGCTTCAGTCTCCGGCTTGGGGTGGGGGTGGGGGGGGTCAAGGCCGCCACCAGGCGGTCACCGCAGAGGTCAGGCTACACTGCTACTCGGCTGCGGTAGACACCAGCCCTGTGGCGAGGCAGGGCTCCCGCTGTTCCCCGTAGTGGAAACGAACTCCTAACCGGCGGAAACTCCAATTGAGGGTGGCCGCCAGCGCCACTCTCCGCCCCCTGCCGGCCGCTCCGCAGGTCGCGGCCCCGGGCTCGCGGTGGCCGACTGGCTGGAGGGCCGGGGGACACGGCCGCAAACCCCGCGGGGGCGCGTGGAGCGTTGGGCAGGCTGAGCCGCGTGCTCCGCGATCCACGTCCCAGGCCCGCGGCCTCCCCGCGGTCACAGGGCGCGGCTCGGGCACGTTGCCGCTATGAAGCGGGGGCTGATCGTGGGCGCCGGGCTGACGGGAAGCCTGTGCGCCGCGCTGCTGAGAAAAGAGGTGTCCGGTGCTCTCTTCCTCGCCGTGTGGGACAAGGCAGGCGACTCAGGTGGGCTGTCTAACTGCAGACCCCAAGGGCACGCGAGCCCCGACCTTCCAGGACGCCTCGGGCCTGTGCCCCAAACACGTCTGAGCACAGGCCTGCTGCTGCTTCCGCGCCGGCTCATGCGCAGTGGGCGCCTCGCCGTCACGTGACCGGAGACTTCGCGCCAGAGGGGCGACCTGGGGGAGGGGCGACTGGTCTGGGCCGGAGGAGGAGTGAGGGGGCGGCGCGCCTGTGTGCAGAGAGCCCTGAGCGGGTTTGAGAAGAAAGAGCCGGCCCCTGCCTCTAGTAAATGCAGTTTTGCTCTGGACAATCTCTGCTATTCCGGTTTTCTCCCGATCTGAGTATCTCAGTGTGCACTTGGAAGAAGACTTTCTGAAGATCCGGTGTACCCAGTTCTGTCATTCTTGTGAATCTCTACAGCGTGAGAGATTCTTTTCCTTGATTCATTGATTCTGACACTTCACCCCTCATTTTACTAATATAATTCGTTAGTGCCTTTTCTTAAGGAAACAACAGTGTGCAGCAGTAACAGTGGGTGCTCTGCTCCTATCTGTCCACCCTCCCTCCCTCATTCCCTTCCGTTTCGCTTCACTCTCTTGTAATCTCACAGTGATTGAGTTGGCTCTGTTAACTACTTTGTAGCAATACTAGATGGTAGAGACTTCAATTTAAGACCTTTTCTTAATGTAATTGTGAACAAAATTGCAGTGAGGGGGAGGCATGAATTGTATTAATTCCAACAGGTTCATTTAATGCGCTATATTACTTCTAAATTAATTTAAGGGGGAAGAATGACTACAGCCAGCAGCCCTCATAACCCGCACTGCACAGCTGATTTGGGTGCTCAGTATGTGACCTGCACACCTCACTATGCCAAAAAACACCAAATGTAAGTTAGTTTCAGTTCTAGAATCAATCTTGGAAATTGTAAGATGTAAAAGGACACTACCTTTTTAACACAGTTTAAAACGTATCTTTTACTAAAATTATGATATTACCATTGTTGATACTGTTAGCAGAAAAAGTTAACCTGAGTAAAGTGGGAAACTATAATATTGTTGGGAAGATTAGATGAGAATGTGTATGAAACAAATAGCAGGCTCAATGAAGTTTAATTACTGTTAGTGTTGAAAAGAGGACAAATAAATGCAGTGAAAGTCAGTCTTCTTCACCAAGTTTAAAATTGGTATGCTAGATAATATTTCTATTTTATTTGATTTAACTGCGTGATATGGAAAAATAGACCTTTGGCTAATATCAACAGAAAACATTTCAGTTATTCTCTTGAGTTAAGTTTTATTTAACACAAAATATACATTAATCATATGAAGTTTTCTAGTTATGATTTGGAATTATTTCTTTTTTTTATTTAAGGAGAAAAGAAAAATAAAGTGAAAGGGTACAAGTTATACAGATTTACAGAAGAAAAAAATGAACAGTAGGAAATCACTAGTTAATGGATTACATATTGCCATCTTAAAAATAATTGTTCAAGTCACAAAATTAAAGCTTGTAGAGTGGACATTCCAACAATGATACTGCAAACAGTTCTGTTCAATGATCCAATAAAACTCTGTGATATCATTTTCTATCTTATACACTTAAATATACATGCAGTTATATAGTTTAGAGCACTTTCTTTTCCTCTCTTTTGTACAATGACTATTACACATTTTGGGTTTCATTGCTCCCATGGTTCTTACTGCTTTTTTGGAAGAGAGTAAAACCAAATGAGACATAACAGGACAGAATCGGTCAAGTCAAAAGGGTGGACATAATAGATAATATAAAAACATAATACAAGGTGATCATCAATGGTTACCATAATGCCTCCCGCTATCTCTAATAGAATTGCCTATATCATTAGTTATAATACAATTGAACAAAATAGTAAAGAACAAAACCAACAAAACCAAAACATTGGAGACATTGTAGGTCTTCAAAAGTAGATAAAAGTCAACGAGAATGGGCATTATAATGAATCTCATTATCTTCTCAGCTGATGCCTAAACTTTCGAACCTGATACTATCCATCAAAACAGAATAGGGGAACATCAGTCAAAAACAAGATGGTGAGAGTAATACAGGGCTTCAAATCGAGATAATAGAAAGTCAAAGTGGGTTACTATATTATATCCTGCTATTTTTTTCCCTTTAATTAAATGGATAAAAATAAAAAAGTAAATAATGGAATGGAGATTGAGAAAAAAGAGGGCATAACAGCAAAACAGCGCAGATCAAAACATAACCATTTAAGCAGAATAGTGTTTCACCACCAGATAATTCTTAAGAGTTTTAGAAGAATATAGAATGTTATAGAGCTAATCGTACTATGCACTTATATTAACATTTATTGTTGTATTTATGCACGTATATTATATATTCATATTATTGTACTTACATATATTAATTTATTTCAGTTTTTATGATGAACTGTTAGCTCATGGCATTTTGAAGCCCCTGGCGTCTCCTATTGAAGGAATGGTGATAAAAGAGGGAGACTGTAACTTTGTGGCCCCTCAAGGAATTTCTTCAATTGTTAAGCACTACTTGAAACAATCAGGTGAGAATTCAATTTTCTCTGCTTTCTTTTAAAGTAGCCTTTGCCAGGCATGGTGGTGCATGCTTGTAATCCCAGCATTTGGGAGGCTGATGCAGGGAGATTGCCCTGAGTTCTCTGAGTTTGAGGCCAGCCTCAACTACATAGTGAGTTCAAGGCCAGCCTGAACTATACAGTGAGACACTGTCTCGGAAAAAAAAAAAAAAAAAAAAAAAAAAAAAATATATATATATATATATATATATATATATATATGTATAAGTAAACGGCATTTAAAAAGAAGTTATACATGTAATTAAATATTAATACCATATAGAACATTTCAAACAGTATATATTCTGTTTTCCATTCAGAAGCTAGTCTTTCTACCTCCAGACTAATCACTGATAAATTTCTAGAGTATGCTTCCAGAAAAATGTTTATAAAACTATGAAGCTACATGGCTGCCTCTATTTACTATTAATATATCTTTATTTCTCTAAAATATATAATAAAGGATTATTACAGAAAGTATTGTATACCTTGTTTCATATCTTGGGCCTGTTTTCTGTATCAGTAGAGTCCATGTGCTATTTTTTTAAATGACTGTCCAGTAATATATGGTATATGTGTATAATTGTTTATGTAACTATTGTTAAATATTTGTTGTGGTAAGGCTATTTGAGTGTGGGATATTGTTTTGATTTTAGCTTATGTAAACATTGTTCCATGTCAATCTTAGCATATTTTTTGTGAGCACATCTGTAGGAGCAAATCATATCACAATAGCTATGTCATGTAGTGTGTACATTTTTAGATTTACCTAGGTTGTCCTAAATATTACTTTCAAAGAAAATCTCATCACAAGTGATGAGAATGTTTGTTTACCTTATTTGGATGTTATAAAAGTTTATTATTTTTGCCAATGTCATAGCTTAACAATGTATTTTCTTAGTTATGGGGTTTGAGTCTTTGTTAACCAGTTATTTGTATTTTTTTCTGTGAATGTCTTGTTCATAATCTTTGTCCACTTTCATTTGTTCATTTTTATTCATTTTATGAATATTTTGAAAATGAGCCAACAAAATAGAATTATTTTTACCTGATAGATAATTTATTTTTTAAAAGAGTGTTTTTGACAAATCATAATTCAGTTAATTATCCAACTCAAGACCACGGAGGGAAGGCATAGCCTGAGAATTTGTTTTGTTTCATTAGCTGTTTCTAGTGCTATTTTGATCCTTCTCATCAAATATAATTTATTGAGAAACTCAAGAACCCCTATTTCTGGGCATGAGAAAAGACAGTAAGATTGAATACACAATATCAGAATAAATATCATATTGGGCCATTCCAGATTTAGTCCGTGATGGTTTATTAGAGTTCTCTAAAAAAAGTCAATCCAATAAGCTATATTGTAGTTTTCCAGTCCAAGGATTTTGTATCTATGGATGCAACCAATTACAGATAAAAAATACTGAAAAAAATTCCAGCAAGTTCTAGAACCAGAAAATGAATTTTCTGTATACCAAATACTGTGCTTTATCTGTGAAAATAAAGTTGTATGTAGGCAACCCTTTCACATTTGTAACCTTTCACATTTGACAGATCTTGAGTCTCCAGCAGTTTTTAAGCATTGTTCGCCTGTCTCTTATCTGCATGCTACATACATAGGCCTATGGTGGTTGCATTTGTACTGAATATGTGCAGATGTTTTCCTTGGGATTTTTCCCTAAATAGTACAGCTTAATTGTTTAAGTCACATATACTTTGTTTCTCTGAACAGTACTGTTACAGTTTGTGTATGGATGTCCCCCGAAGCTTCATGCAATCATGGAGGCAGGCTTCTAGAATTTGTGCTTGATTCATAGTCCAATGCTGGGATTATGGGTGAAAGGGTGGGTAGCCTGCATAACATATAAGGGACAGAAAGTCTATGTGTGTTGTTTCCCTTTTGCTCTTGTTGCTTTTGCTGTCTTCCACTGCCATGAACAGTTGCCCTTTTCCATGTGGCACTCTGCCTTGGAGCCAACTGAGTATGGACTGAAACCTTCAAATACTGTATAACTAAATAAAGCTTTTCTTCCTTAATTTGGGTATTAGGTATTTTGTCTCAGTAACAAGAGAAAAGTAACCAACATATATACGGTTTAACAACTATTTATGTAGCATTTACTTTGTATTAGATATTATAAGTAATATAGAGATGATTTAAAGTATAAAAGAAATTGTGTATAGGTTATCTGTAAATTCTATATTTTATATAAGGGACTTGATCATCCATGGATTTTAGTATGGAGAGTATTCTGGAACCAATCATTGGCAGATTCTAAGGGATGACTGTGTGAAGAGATGAATAGATACAGATATAGACAGATATAGATACATAAAAAGATTGATCAATGTATCATAAATAATTGGTTCACATTATTACAGAGACTGACAAGTCCCAATATCTGAAGAATGATTTGTCAATCTTAACATTAGAGTCAGGAGAACTAATGATGTAGTACCAGCATGAAGACAGGCAGACTCTAGACCCAAGAAAAGTCAGTGTTTTAGTGCTAGTCTGAAGGCAAGAAAAAAGTCTGTGATGCAGTTCAAAGCTATCGGGCTGGAAATTCTCTTTCTTTCTTTCTTTTTTTCTTCCCTCTTTCTTTATGGAGACGTGTCTTACTGTGTAGTTCAGGCTGGCCTTGAACTTGTAGTGATCATCCTGCCTCAGCCTCATTAGTGCTGGGATTACAGGCATGCACCACTGCATTGGGCAGGAATTCTCTTTTTTTGTCCTATTTAGCCTTTCTATGTGTTGGATGAAGCCCACTGACATTAGTAAGGGCAATCTGCTTTACTAAAATTTAAATATAATATCATTTCTAGAAAACAATGTCACAGAAATACCCCAAATAGTGTTTTTACCAAATATCTAGACAATCTAGCTCAGTCAAGTTGACACATAAAGGTAGTCATCATAGATAATGACATCAGTGAATGTTTTGTGAAATGTCATCATCTGCTTTATATAGTACCAGAATATCAATTTGTTTTTTTGGTATCGGTATTGAACTCATGATCTTGTGCTTGCCAAGAAGGTGCTTATGCTACTGAGCTAAATCCCCAGCCCACTTTCTCATTTCTTTATGAAGTGTGGCTCCTGCCTAATACATTTGGAGAGTGATGAGCCAAGTCTTTTTGTTTTGAATAATGCCTCAAATTATATAAAGTTCTTATATAATTAATAAGATAATGGATTTAGCCTCTAGGACATATAGGTGAGAAACTTTTATTTGGTCGGCTTATCAATGGAGGATTATTGTTATATTTATTAGTTTTTAATTTGTCTATTTTATAAGGAATATTGACTAGTAGTCTGGAAAATCAACATGTACACTATTAATTGACAAAGCTGAGAGGATCAGTTTATTAGACTAAATGGTTTTATGTGCAGATACTATTAACTAGGGTGACTTGTTTGGTAATATTTATGCTTATCATTCTCTCCCTTTCTACATTCTTTTTAGAATTGATGTAGGGGAAATGAGCCTGGGTGGTTCTTCCTTAGAATTTCTCCCAGGCAGATGATCATGACACACATTCATAAAGTAATGTTCTTTTGATAGAAGCTAGAGGATCACACACAAATGATTATTAAGCATGATTTGTTTACCTTAAGCAATGCATTTAAGCAGACATTATTCATATCTATTCAGGTGGCTTTTTACTAGTTCTAGCAAGTACTTACCAAACCTGATTTTTGGGAAATTACAGAAGAAAAATATTTTGGAATTCCTTCTTAAAATGGAGAAGGTTGGGAATTAAATTTTGAATAATACATAGTTTAAACATATTTGCATTTAATAAAATGTTTAAACCTTAGTGTTATGGTACCTTTATATCTATTTGAAGACTTTTAAATTCTTGTTAAATATTGTGTGCTGGAGTAACAGTGGCAAATGAGAGACATGACCCCCTGCCTGTATTAATAGAGGAGAGACATATTAATATATGGAGGAGACACAATATTAGTGGCACACGTGTAAAAGGGTATATAATAAGTGCTAAGAAGACACAGTGAGGCGTTATGAGAGAACATGTAACAGAGTAGACCTAAGCCAATGTAGGAATGAGAGCAAGATGAGCTAGGGAAGGTGTCCTTAAGGTGTCCTGACATCTCATGAGTGCCTGCAAAATAACAATAAACTGGGCCAAGAGGTGAGGTTTGAGAGTTTCATGCAATGGGCCTGTGAAATTGGAGCTTTCCTGAAGTAGGAACGTCCAAGAGCTTTCAAGAACTGAAGAGGAGTGAGTGAGGGAGAAATGGTAGGAGATGCAGTACAAGACAAGGCAGAAACAGATGTAAGGGGCTTGGCTAGTAGCATTAAAGATTTTGCATTTCAAGTGCACTAGGAAGCCATTGAAGGGGTTTAGCGATAAATTAATGCATAGTGAAATTGTTAGGTCAGAAGTATCCTGAGAGAATTTGTGTTGCTCTCTGTTTTAAAAAGAAAGCTTCTTGGAACTTTAAATATTAGCACATAGTCTGCTATAAAAATTATTAATTACTTTCACAAGGAAAAGCCTCTTTCCCAGAAACTTTAATCCTAGCAGCTGGAAAGGAAAATTCTTGGTTAATATGAGCAGCTACCATTTTCCCTGCCTTTTGATAAATACTTCTGTTGGTGAGGTAGTGGTACATGTTTTGTCAGTTGTGGTATTAGATTTGGGTCTGTCTGTCTACTCCAGGGTTCTCATATATTAGTGTGCATGGTTCACAATCTCTCAGACTTACTAGATGTGGATTACTAGGGCTAAGGCCTGAGTTTCTGGTTCAGTATGATTTGATATGATTCAACAATCCACTAGCTGTTGCTGGTGCTGCTGGTCTGGAGTCCACATTTATAGACATATACCTACAAAACACTCTATGACTGTTAGGATTCATTTCCAAGACATTAATTTGAAGTATGGAAAATCTAAGCTAGTAGATTTTAATACTCTTTAAACACACAGTTGCAGGGGGTTGGGGGTTTAGCTCAGCGGCGTAAGCACCTGCCTTGCAAGCAGGCAGTCGTGAGTTCGATCACTGGTACCGATAAAAAATGAAAAAGACCAAAAAAAAAAAAAAAAAAAAAAAAAAACCCACACATACACACAGTTGCATTGGCAAGAATAACAACATAATGCTCTTTGCAAAGGAATATTTTTGTGGATGGAACCATAAATAAATAAAACAGAATAAGGATATTTAATTGAGGTTTGGGACAAGACTATGGACTAAATGATGTGAGTGGAAGGAAACATCCTAAATAAATAAAACAAAGTGAAGCAGGGCTTCTCTGGTTGGAGTAAGAGATGATGAATGTGAGTTGCAAGTGGCAAATTATCTGTACCTTCTCCAAGTGTAAACCCCTTGGGCAAGTTGGAGCACTGTTTCTAAACCCTTGCTTTAATCTTTGAACAGAAGGATGCTGATTGCTGCAGACAGAGATTGATCTATTAGACCAGATAGAACCGTGTTCCTTTTAATGTATACATTTGACTTAAAAGCTTTGAATGCTTACTATTGTATAGCATTATTCAAGGGAAAAAGGAGGAAGATAAAGGTATTTGAGATATGGCACCTCACTTGAAGATCCTAGAGTACTATTGGATAGATAAGACACAAAGCATGCACATGCTTTGAATCAATGTTGGATTGAATAGTAAAGGCAGTGATGACTGAAGGACATCATAAACAGAATCGTATTGAGTAAGAGTTGCTACAGAAAGGGAGTTTAAAATGGAAAATGTAGGATTCGATTTTTGGTGACTCAGGGCATAAAACGTACCAGGTAGTGAGGAGCAAGATCTTTCAGTGTACTGTTTATTCCTCATCCCACTATCCTTCCTTTTCTTTTATGCATGATGCTGAATAAAAGTAATTTATTTTTATATCAAAAATTTCCAAAAAACTGATATTTGAGTATTAGTGCACTGAGCCGACTTAATGACTCAGCTGTGCTTTCTTTCAGCTTATGAGTTATAATTTATTCCTTTAAAACAAATTTGGTTAAGTGTGTAGTATGTGCCAATAACTCAGCCATGTATCTTGTTTACTATATAGAAACAAAATAGTCATAATTTGTGGTGCATGAGGTTTAGAAATTAAAAGCGCAGACAATTATCAACTTAATTGGGCAAATAATTAAAATACTTTTTTCAGAAGTGCTGGAAAGGAAAATGTGGGAAAGTATTCAGTATTTCTCTTAGTTTTGGTTCTTGATGAAGGTATTGCTCTGTTGATGAGGACTTAAATTTCTCTTATATAGACCTTTTGCAGGTCCTCTAACTGGATATTAATTTCTTTAATAGGGAATATTGCTCATCTTAATCCTACTAGAAAGAATTAATTCCTAATACCTTTACTGAAATGTATGTGGAATTGCTCTGCAAAGGTTATGAGCTTTAGAGTCAGCTGAACATAATTCTAAATCATTGCTAGACATTTTTCAATGTCATAATTTTTTATCTGTGAAGTAAATTGGTAAAATATGTATCAAGTACTTCCCACTTGGTAGATTTTGAATGAAAAATAGATGTAATTACTGTTTCTATTATTATTAATTGTAGTAGTATTTTTTCATTTAGAGCAGCATTGATCAGGAGGTCCCAGCATGCCAGGGAAGGGAGTCAAGATGGAAGGAGAAGAGGCATTGCCACTAAATTGGAAGGAAAGTAAAGAAAGAGAACCCTAGAGACTATAGAAAATAAGCTTGATCATTTTGTTCATGTGAATAGGCCGATTTATGGCAGTTCTCTTTTTCTTGTTATGGAAAACCTTAACAGTTTGAACATGATTTGTTTTTGGAGCAGGTGCTGAAGTCTGCTTTAGACATTGTGTGACTCAGATCAACCTGAGAAATGGCAAGTGGGAAGTCTTCAAGGAAACAGGGTCGCCTGAGCAGTTTGATTTTGTTGTCCTCACAATGCCAGTTCCTCAGATTCTGCAGCTTCAAGGGGACTTCACAAACTGTGAGTCTGACTTTCTGTATTCCTATCTAAACTAACAAAATTTCTTTGATAGAATATTAGCTTGTTTTAATTCTCATGACAGAGTATATTATGGATTTCATTGATTTATGTCTCTTACAGACCTCTTAGAGTACAATTGTTGATACTAGTCTAGGCCAAAGCAAAGTCCATCAAAAATTTTAACCAGTTAAAACTTGGACATTTTTCTTGCTACCTTTGCCTTCAAGAAGTCAGCATTGATGTACTGTAGCATGACCTAAAATGAGAACAATCTTTTGGTGGCCATCCTAGAAAGAAAAAGGTTTTATGGTATGAATTTTTATTTGGGTTACCTCATTGCAAATAGTCTTGCTATCTAGATGGCCTTCTGGGTATTTACTTCTGTTTAAGAAAATTGCCTAGCCCCATTGTGAAAAAGATATACAAGAGAAGGGATGGGTGGGTGGGTATGGCTGCCTGTTAATTATTGTAGAGGAGCTAAAATTGTGGTAAAACAGCCAAAATTATAAAAAAGATACTAAAATTCAAAGGAAGTTATTTTGTCTGAATAAGGGGGAAAAAAGAAAAATATTGTATACCAAAAATAAAAAAGTTTTTGCTGTACACTAGCAAAAAGAGCTTCGTTATGTTTGTATTATGCCAAGGTACCTGTAACACTGCCTACTGTTCTCTATGGGTTTTTTTTTCCCTTTGGGTGACCTAATTGATATGTTAGTCAATGCTCCCTTCTATAAAGAATTATAAATCCCTGGGAACCTAACCTAATTGATACGCTAACCATTGTTGCCCTCTACAAATAACAGATGTGGTACTAAAATAAGCTGACAAAAGATTGTTAATTACTGCTAGACTTCTGTCCTCTGCTAAGGGAAGCATTTCCTTAGCAGATTTCCTGATTCACACCCTAACCCCTTACTTCGTAAACTGTGATATGTACATAAAGGTTGCAAGCTTTGAAGGAGACACACAGCTTCTGCAAACTCCACCTGCACTGTGTCGGTGGGCCCAGGATAAAATAAATCAGCACTGCTTTTTTAAAATATATTTTTGCACATTTTTTGAACTTGAGTTTGAGGCTCATTTGTGGATTGCAACAGTTTTATTTTATTTTATTTTATTTTTTGTCTTTTTCCTTTTTACCGGTACCAGGGATCGAACTCACAACTGCCTGCTTCCAAGGCAGGCGCTTATGCCGCTGAGCTAAATCCCCAGCCCCAACAGTTTTATTTTAAGGAGTGATATAACAGGTTGATGATAAGTAGAATATATGTTATTGAGCATGTCTGGTATCACTAATTTAGAATACTTATAGAGAGAAACTGTTGAATCATTATAAAGAATTTTTAAAGAAAGCCTAATTTTTGTTTTGTCAGCTGGAGAAATTTTGGTTTATGTAACTGAGGACCCAGTTTTTGTTTATCAGCTTGAGAAATGAGAAGTAGGAAGTCTCCCCTGAACAGTGGCATCTTGTCCTCAGATTGTCAGTACTTCCTATTTCCTAGGGACCTTCAATTTTAGGTTTTGAATATCACTAGATTGGGGCAGAGTAAGGGGCTATAGTGATATAAGACCTCTATACAGATTGATTGATACAGGGTACTATTGTAACTCCTAACCTGCTGGATGTCCAATACATCAAGATTGTGTTTCCCACAAGCAAAGACAGAATTGAGGAACAATTTAAGAGCAGAAAATTTTGCTGAGGGGGAGAGAGCTCCTGAGAGAGATAGGAGGGGACCCAGAAAGTGGGTTGCCCACGAACCCACTTCCTAAAGAAAGTTTTATAGAGCAGTTCACAAGATGCGTACAAAATCATGAGGTAGGTACAAGGTGGGGCAAAGCTATGATTAACCAGTAAGATCACAGGTATAGCTGCTTAGGTATTATTGATCCAGTAGAGAAGCAAGTCACATAGTAAGTGTATATCGAAAGAACAAGGACTTTTTTGGAAGGGGTTGGTCAGGAGGTCCTGATCCTCCCAGTTGGATGACTGATGCCTGTTTAGAATATTGATCATTATTGTATTACTGGGGATATATGTCAGTATTGTCATTCCATCTTTATCTTGAGGCCTGGCCTTCAACAAATATGCCTCCAGCCATAACTCTAATGTGTTCTTACTTCCTGCCCTGACTCCTTTGGAAGCCTAGCCCTGTCTCACTGCCTATGATATGTCTACCTAACTTAACTGTGTATACTATTAAGACTCAGATGCTCCAGAAGAAAGCCAGAGTGTATGGGAAAAGAGGATCAAGAAACTAGGATGGAATGACCTTAGCATCAAGTATAGTTTCTGTATATCAAAGTCTGACTGTGCCATCTGTGTCCTCAAAAAATCAATCTCAGTTTCATTGCAACAAAAAATAAACCAATATTGCTCTTGTTTTGAAAAAGGAAGGTTATATATAATGAGTTAACCCTTCTAAGTTTCAGCTCTCTCTTTATTTGAAGCTGGTGAAATTATTGTTATGTATGTAATAGTTAACAAGTTACTCTCAAATTTGATTTCATAATCAGATTTTGTAGCCACCAGAAGGCTCTGTTAATTCTTGGTATTCTTAATCAGCAACTGGGGCATGCTATGAGCACAGAGAATATTAAGTATATTTTATGTGCTAATCAGAATTTGCAAATTAAGGCAGGATATTTTTAAAAGCTACTCTCATTGCACTGTATCTTTGGTGGGCTTTATATTTTATGTGTGTATATGGTTCTTGTGTTTTTAAAATATTTTAAAATGAGAATTTTTTAATTTGACAATACTTTATTTCATGAAATCTAGCTAACAAAACTCTAAGTAGCGGCTATTACTAGGCTGTTACACAGAATTTTCAGTTTGTAGGTTAAAAATGGTCATATTTTAGAAATTTCATGTGAGTCAACTAAAACCCATATATAGCTATTAATGTTGAGAAAAATGAACAGAGCCAGTAATTAGTGATGTACATCTGAAGTTTTTTTAGGATTTTAAAGAGTACTTTGACACATACCTCTCATTTGGCATGTTATTTTTAATTATAGTGCCTTTCAAAATATTGCATGAAGTATTGACAAGAGTTTAATATTCTAATCATTTGTTTTTATTATTTAAATTGGTGTTTTTTATTCTTCTTAAGCCTTTAAGGGTTGCAATTGGTTTAGCATTATTCACTTTATGCTGAGGCTTTAACTTCTTTTTAAATATAAAATGCCTGGTTGGAGTAAGGAGGATAATTTCATCTTTTTACCAGATTCAAATCCACCAGAAGCCACTTTAGAAATGCCCTTTACATGCAAATGTCTTCCCTAGTTAACAACTTTATGAAGGTGGAATTGGGGAGTTGGATGCCTAAAATTTAATTCACTATTAAATAGGAGAGTGTTTTTGGTGAACTATATCCTAGAATTTCTAAATCCACAGGTAGCATTTTCCTGCTACTCAGCACAGAGTGATGCCAGCAGCAGGAAGCCTCTGCTTTCACTGTCAGAGAAGCTGGCCGTAGGGGAAGAGTAGAGGACGCTGTAGCACACAAATTAGAAATTGTGATGTACATATGAATGATGCAAATCCTTGTGTGTATTTTAAATCAGCTCCATGAAAAGACAGTATCAGGAAAAGGCTAAAATTCCCATACTAAGCGATGAGAAATGGATTCATGTATGAGAAACAAGAGAGAATGGAGGCATTTTAGGCAAGGAGAATACATTTCTCCAATAGGTACAATGCTGAGCCTTTATCAGGCCAATTTTCCTCACTGATAATGAAATTGTAATTCATTTTAACAACAGAAAATCAGAATCGGAGGCAGCTTTAGAGAACATCTAGTTTTATCATTTTGCCCTTGTGTAAGTTTTTCTAAAAACCAGTCATGCTATTGTTGTATGTTGACATATGAAAAGACAAACAGGCAGGGCAGGTGATTCCAGCATTGGGAGGCTGAGGCAGGAGGGTAGCTGCGAGTTTTAGGTTTGCCTGAACTACATAGCAAGACTGTCTAAAAAAATAGAAAGAAAAAACATTCATATATAATATATACTGCTTGATGAATACAGAGATGTGACCAAAATGTACAACTGATGTTTAAATTTGAAAAATATTGCAGTGAAAAACATTAATCCCCTTCAAAATTCTCTCTCACTTCAACCACACTTAACCTATTTTCCTGCCGCTGTCTGAAGCAGTTCTGGAAATCCTCTCTCCTGAGTGTCTTTATGAATTGTGATTAAAAAATACAGTGAGTCCTCAGTGTCCTCCAGGGAAAAGCAGACTCCTTTGGCTAAGGCTCCTGTTTTTCTGTGTTAGGCTTCTGTAAAAAGAACTATGGAAAAATTATTTTTAAAATTTATAAATACCAATTATGGCTTCTATCTGAGGATTTAGGTAATGTCAGTGTTTCTGTGTTACCTGGAGTTGACTTTCGGCATCTTTAAGTGACTGTGACAGATACCTACTTAAAAAGTTATATATTGCCATCTAGTGGGCCAAGTACATATTACAATACTCTTTAGAATCTAGCTCTATGAAGATAACTGGACATAAACACTTTGATTCTAATACAATTTACAAAAGCACATACTACAGGGTCATAAATTTTGGTCCATGAGAATAAATTAACTTACCCGAAAGTGCATAGTTAGTAATATAGGTAATATTACATCACAGGGCACACATTTGTATAAACTATGAACAGCATTATGTCTTAGATTTTCTGGGTTTTTTTTTTTCATTCTCTTTTCTGAATCATGTCTAATCTTTAGAGTTAGCATGAGTAGAATCTCTTACTTGAAATAATTACCATTTATTTATAGAGTGGTTTGAATTTTCTGTTACCTAACTTGGTTTTTTGCTTTTTATAAAATAATAAAGCTACTTATGTTTTTGAAATTATTTACTATATATTACATTCCTCAAAATGGAGGAATAGAGAAACTTAATGTACTATAGAGTGAACCTTTTATGATTTGCCTGCTGGTTCTATAATTGTGTTACATTTTTTGTACTAACATTGCAAAGATTCTAT